GTCGCCCATTCCTCCATCAGCTATGGCCAAATGGAAGTCTGGATGACTAGTTAAATTACCCTACGCCAGCAAAAGCCAAGCAGAAGGTAACTCAACTGGTTAAATTACCCTACGCCAGCATAAGCCAAGCAGAAGGTAATTCAACCATTATCACTTCACCCAAACTAGTTCATCCATTCACATGGTGATCGTCAGCAATGGCCAAACGAATCAACATATGCCTGGACCAACTAGTCCGAGCTCCCACTATCATCCCTAATAAAAGTGACTTACCTTGAAGTGAAAGAAATTCCAAATAGAAAGATTTGGCAATTTCGCTGCCCTTTTATTTGAAATTCCTTCCATTACATACAAAAACAATAATTATTTTCAAATAAACAAAGTCCCGTAAATTTGTCAAAACAAATTTCTTATTGTTGTACGCATTGCAATCAAATTCAACAAAAATAACTGCATCACATAAAAAATGCGTGCACAATATTTTTCTTAAATTTGTTTATGCAGACAAACAAGAGAAATAGTTACAACAAATTTAACTAATTTTTATTAGCGGCAAAAAAACTAATCAAAACATATTTTACTTCACAGGGTCATTCGTTTATACAAAATGTTTGTCTCTAATATGAAATTTACAGGGTCATTTGTTTATAATAAAAATGGATGTTACTGTAGGAAAATCTTATTGAATTTAGAAACATTTACTAAGTGAATTTAAAACTCATATTTGACTATTCATTTGATTTGTGGGGTTAAATTTTAGAATAAAATTTGGGCCTTACACTCCCTCCCTACTTCCCCGAAAGTAAAAGCGCGACCACTACTGTTCCCGGGAAACTGAACCGTGCCGGGACATACTACCTGTTAGCTTGACTTCTGTAACGTTGCTTCGGACTTTTGAATACTTTATAAAATTCGTCTTGGGCCGTAGTGACAATCTGATCGTGTTCTAGCGTGTCTTGTAGTTGATTAACAGGATATGGCGGCTGGGGTTCAAGTTCCTTTGATTGTAACGATGATTTGAAATCACTTTGCGAATGACTCTGTGGCATTTGCGACGATGATTCTGAACTTGTAGAAGTTGGTAACAATGGACGATTGACATGTGATGACTCTGGTACTATCGTTAAACGTTGTGGCAGTGTTGGACGTGATGATAAATCATGCTCTTCGATTTGACGCTTTTGTTCTCGTGATTGTTGTACATCTTGTATTTGCAGTTGTAGGTTTACGTGATCTTGTATAGAATATGCATTGGAAATTCGATGTTTACTAAGTCCTGGTTTATTTTCTTCGATAGGCGTAACGTGTTGCGGAACTTGCTGTGGTTGTATTTCATGCGCTTGCACTTGCTCTGGTATTACTTGGATTGGATGAAATACTTCTGGATTTTGTTTGATATATCTAGGACGTTGTTGTCGTTGTGCCTTTTGTATTTGAGTTTGTGATTCTTGACGATCTTGTGTGTATCGCTGTAGACTAAATACTTTCGGATTTTCTTCGATATGTTTTAAATTTCGCTGACGTTGTACTTCTGGGATTTGGAACTCTTGTATCTCTTTGTTTGCTTTTGGATCATGCGATGGTGGTACAAGGCATTTACATGGCGCTTGCACTTGTAAATTTTCTCGCAGTTTTACTGAATGCTTGTCTGGGTAAATCTGACATTGTGTGCTTTGTATTATACTTGGCTTGGATAGTAATGCTGTCTTTGAAGTTGCAATTTTATTTACTTTTGCTGCTGTTTGCTTATCTATCGACTGGTTACGTTGTTGGTTACTTTGCTGCTGGTTCCGGACAGGTGATACGGGGCTTAGACTATAGATATCTTCAACTCGTACTGACGTCATGGACATGAGTCTCATTGTATTCTGTAATGGCATCGTTGGTGGATACTGGACCACTGTACACCTGTGGATAGTTTCTTCTTGAACACGGTCTCGACTCACTTTGTGCTGTGTTGTGTGAAGTTCTTCAAATTCATCAGCAAGTGTTGTTAATTCCTCTATACTTGCGAAGTCTTGATGTTTGATGTACATTTTGTAGTTTGCATTCATGTTGCGATATATTCGCTCTAATTGCGAATCTGGATTTAGGCAAGCTTGTCGCATTAAATTTTGAATGTCGATAAAATAATCCCTGAATTTTTCCTTTGGTTTATGAAGCCGCAATCGTACCTCATCTTCTAATTTCTCAAAATATCTAGAGGAAATGAAAAATTTCAGGAAGTCGACTTTGAAATTTGTCCATAGCTGCCAATGCTTATTATTACAGCGATGCCACATTAGTGCCTTATCTTCAAGAAGTATAGGCATCATCTTGGGAACTAGATTTACGTTAATAGCGTAAACATCTGCTAGTTCTTCTATTCTTTCTATGAACCCCAATGGATTCTTTCCTCCGTCGTAACGTACCGACCACTTCCTTATCTGTTCTAGGTCATGAGCATATGATGAGGCCATGATTGACATGAGGCATTTAATCTTTGGCCGTCTTGGGTTTATATTTTCATTTGTGGTAACGTTAGCTTGTGTTATTCAGTATGATGATAAAATCATAATTTTCCGGTTTACATTGTTTTACTCCTTGTATTCTTGCGACAAATTCTGCTAGTCCCTCTGAAACTCAGTCCCTGCTCGGGCGCCACTTGTAACGACCTTTTCCCGGCCCTATCTATAGCTGGGGTATACTCAGCGAGTATACCAGGGTTCGTTATAAGAAAATTTATCTAAGTAAAATAATAGAGACACTTCTGTTTAAAGTAGCGTTTATTATTTAACAAAAAATAAGAAAATATAATCAATTTGTGGAAAGCGATGTTGAAAATGTTGCTAATGATGTAGAATGTTGTAATGATGTTGTAGACGGTGTAGCATGTTGTAAAATGTTGTATGGTGTTATAAATGTTGTAACGATGTTGTAAACGGTGTAGGATGTTGTGAAATGTTGTATGATGTCATAAACGCTGTCACGATGTTGTAAACGGTGTAGAATGTTGTGAAATGTCGTATGACGATTGCTTGTAGTGGTGCGCAAGTTGCTAACCTTGAAGTGAAAGAAATTCCAAAAATCTAATCTCTAGAAACTCTAATATCAATATAAAGCAATACCTTTGTCAGCAAAAGCCAGACAAGGGTTCCTTCCTACTGTTACGCCTGGCCACGTCCGTCAGCAATTGCCAAACGCTCGTTGTCCACACGCCTTCTTACAGTGTTGGTGACTCGTCGCCCATTCCTCCATCAGCTATGGCCAAATGGAAGTCTGGATGACTAGTTAAATTACCCTACGCCAGCAAAAGCCAAGCAGAAGGTAACTCAACTGGTTAAATTACCCTACGCCAGCATAAGCCAAGCAGAAGGTAATTCAACCATTATCACTTCACCCAAACTAGTTCATCCATTCACATGGTGATCGTCAGCAATGGCCAAACGAATCAACATATGCCTGGACCAACTAGTCCGAGCTCCCACTATCATCCCTAATAAAAGTGACTTACCTTGAAGTGAAAGAAATTCCAAATAGAAAGATTTGGCAATTTCGCTGCCCTTTTATTTGAAATTCCTTCCATTACATACAAAAACAATAATTATTTTCAAATAAACAAAGTCCCGTAAATTTGTCAAAACAAATTTCTTATTGTTGTACGCATTGCAATCAAATTCAACAAAAATAACTGCATCACATAAAAAATGCGTGCACAATATTTTTCTTAAATTTGTTTATGCAGACAAACAAGAGAAATAGTTACAACAAATTTAACTAATTTTTATTAGCGGCAAAAAAACTAATCAAAACATATTTTACTTCACAGGGTCATTCGTTTATACAAAATGTTTTGTCTCTAATTTGAAATTTACAGGGTCATTTGTTTATAATAAAAATGGATGTTACTGTAGGAAAATCTTATTGAATTTAGAAACATTTACTAAGTGAATTTAAAACTCATATTTGACTATTCATTTGATTTGTGGGGTTAAATTTTAGAATAAAATTTGGGCCTTACAATAGCATCAACTGTCTCATTTCCCTCTATGCCTTTATGACCAGGAATCCAGTACATACAAAGTCTGCGGTTGCAGGCTAGTTTTGCTGTAGCTTCCTTGCATTCTAGAACATTTTTGGATGATGACCAGTAAGATTTGATCGCCTTAATGGCTGCTTGGCTATCCACATAGAAATTTATGGAGTAGTGGCCCTGTAATAATTAATATCGATCATAATAGGAAATATTAAGTGTTAATATGCAAAATACCTATAATATGATCAACCATTAAAATCAATTAATAAAAATCAGAATTTTTTGTAATTCCTTAATATTTGTCCTATTTTTATTTTAAAAAATAGTTTCTTCATTCTATTTAATTTAAATTTAATTAAAAATATATGACGGTATTGAGATTTTTCTTGTATATTAGTTCAAGCTTTTGTCATTTATTAGAAAAAGAATTATAAGTATCTTTCGAATGCAACTCACTTTAATAAAAAAAAATTTTTACTTGTAAATTTACTTTA